ACCAAGTTTTCAAAAAAACCTAGCAAAGGATCTGAGCTTAGCCCTGGTTCTGTCCATAGAGGGTAGCAGTCCCAAGGTTGGCTCCATCTCATGCTGGCTCTCTGGTTCTCTGCTCTGGCCATATTTGCTGCTGCCATAGGTCTAGCTGGCACAAGAATTTGTAGGCCCAAAGGATGTGCCACATTCTTTTACTTTTTTGATGGAGAAGATAGATCTTCCTTCTGCTGCTGGATCAACTCAATTTACTAGCAAGTGTAGCTAATCCCCTTGTGGATAGGCTAACACTAATGTGCCATGTTCTCATATTCTTGTCCATCCTCATGACAAAGTCAAATTATGGCTAGGAAAGTAATTTTGAACAACAAACTCCACAATACCATGTGATCCTCCAAATCTACTTTTAGGTATATAAAAGTTAAAAAGACTAGAGACTAAAAGAGAAATTTGTACAGCAAGGTTCATTGTAGCACTATTCACAATGGCCATGTAGAAACAACCTAAAAGCTCATTAAGAGATGAAAGTATAAACAAAATGTGTTGTTGTTAGGTGTCTTCAAATTGCTTATAATTAATGTTCTCTGCACAACAGAATGAAACACCACCTGGTCTTATACCATCATTAATCACTTAATAACTGCTGTGCCAGTGTACACCCAATGTTGCCACCACTTTGCCATTCTGTCTTGTTTAATTCCCCGCCCCCTTTTCCACTGACCTTACAACACTTTAACAACACTGATATTTAACTGACTCTAATTAACTGACTCAGTTAACTGACTTTAACTGATTTCTTTTTCTAGGAATCAGCCCCTCCTTATATCATGCTTACAATAATCAGCCCCTCCTTATATCATGCTTACAATATGTGACACAAAATTCCACCCCTAAGGGAGTTCTGGTGGCCTAGTGGCAAGAAGCTGCACTGGAATCTCAAAGACACATGGTCTCAAAGACCACCAGCTGCTCTGTGGGAGATAGATGAGTAATTTTCTCCTGTGTGATTAACTGCCTCTGAAAACCTGCAGGATGGTTAGCTATGGGTCAGTTCCAATCTATTGTACACACCACCACCACCACCACCTCTGAGGCGCAATCTGCCTATACTTCTTTCAAGATAAATTTGTTCTTTGGGCAGTTTGATGTATATTCAAGTATCTTCATCAATACTCCACTTCAAAGGAAATTATCTTTTTAACTATGAATGCAACACCATTCTTTCTCTGATTTTCATTCCTGACATACCATGTGATTGTTTGATTAAAAATGGCCAAAACCAGTCCATATCATCTCACTAATGCCTAGAATGTCAGTGTCCATGTGTTCCATTTCATTTTTCCCAACATCTAGTATTCCAGTGTTTATATTTTGTGCATTCCATGTTCTAACAATTAAGGGATATTTGCAGCTGTTTCTCCTCATTTTAATTCACTTCCAACCTGGAATCTACCTCTAATACTATAACAATCTATGTTCCTCTGTTCATAGGGTTTTCAAAGGCCTGCTATTTAAGAAGTGGATAGCCCACTTCATCAAAGAAGACATTCAGATGGCCAACAAGCACATGAAGAAATGTTCAAAATCCCTAGCTCTAAGAGAGATGCAAATAAAAACAAATATGAGATATCATCTCATCCCAGTCAGAATAGCAAAATTTAACAGAACAGCAAGCAACAAATGATGGCGAGGTTGTGGAGAAACTGGAACCCTTATTCACTGTTGGTGGGAGTGTAAAATGGTGCAACCACTGTGGAAGGTGGTGTGGCACTTCCTCAAAAGTTGCAAATAGAGATACCATTTGACCCAGCAATTCCACTACTGGGAATATATACGAAAGAGACCATAACTGACATCCAAGCAGATATATGCACACCCATGTTTATTGCGGCTCTGTTCACAATAGCAAGGAGTTGGAAACAACCCAGGTGCCCAAAAAACGAATGGATAGAGTAGCTATGGTATATTCACACAATGGAATACTATGCTGCATTGAAAAACAAGGAACTCATGCAATATTATTCAAAATGGGTGACCCTGGAGGACATTATGCTGAGTGAACTATCTCAGATGCAAAGCAACAAATATTGCATGGTGCCACTGTTGTAAAATGGGACTGATACCAGGGCTGGAGTAAGACTGAGAAAAACTGGATAAATTGTGTATAATGCACTGAAACAGATGAGGGAGTGAATAACTTAAAAGCGATGTATGATAGGGTCTTATGGTTATCACAAGAGTCCACAATTAAGGTTGCATAGTGGAATGTACTTGGGGCAGTGGGAGGGATGCGGGGGGATTGTGTAGCTGGGAAGGAGTGTTTCTTTCACGTTTTAAAGAGAGGAGTGAACTGGGGGGGTAGGAATGGGCGGGGAGAGAAGTGCAGCAATGAATGAATGGAAATCCAAAATTTCTGTAAATGCTCATTAAAAATTTTTTTTTTTAAAAAAAGAGGTGGATGGCCAATTCGGATTCCTAATATATGTGCGTATATACATATACACACACAAACTTAATATATTGCTGTCAAATCAGTACTGACTTAACAGAACACCCAGTAGGTTTACAGGAGGCTGTAATCTTGGGAGAATTATAATCTTTCTCTTGCAGAGCCACTGATGGATTAGCAGTGCACTCCCTCCAGACTATGCCACCAGAGCAAGATATGTGGTGTGGTTATATGTGTGTTTGTATGTTGTTGCCCTCTCTTTTGTTCAGAAATACAGGTAAGCACAGCAGAAATGCAGTTTGTCTCTCTTCAATAAATTTCTTACTTGCACTAAATGCTTGGTCTCTTTATTTTGTCATTCTTTTTTTAAAAAAAAATTAATTTTAATGAAAGTTTACAGAGAATTAGAGTTTCCAGTCATTGTTGAATTTTTCTCCTTACCCACTTCCCCCAATTAACTCTTATGCAATCCCTCCCGCCAAGTCCACTCCACTCTGCAGCCTTCACTCTGGACTTCTGTAATGACAAGAATACCCATTCATATGTCCTTTTTAAACAGTTCTCTTCTCCCTCATCTGTTTCAATGCAATGTACATCATTCCCTCCTTTTCTGTCTTCTCTCAACCCCGATGTCCATCCATTTTACAACAGTGGCCGAATGCAATATTTGTCCTTTTGTGACTGTGATATTTCACTCAGCATAATGTTCTCCAGCATCATCCATTTTGCATAATATTTCATGAATTCTTTGTTTTTCAGTGCTGCATAGTATTCCATTGTGTGAATATACCATAGTTTCTCTATCCATTCATTTGTTGATGGGCACTTGGGTTGTTTCCAGCTTTTTGCTATTGTGAACAAAGCCGCAATAAATATGGGTATGCAAATATCTGCTCGGGTGGAAATTATGGTTTCTTTAGGGTAAATTCCCAGTAGTGGAATTGCTGTCTCAAATGGTATCTCTATTTGCAACTTTTTGAGAACGTGCCATACAGACTTCTATAGTGGTTGCACCATTTTACACTCCCACCAACAGTGAATAAAGGTTCTAGTTACTCCACAACCTCGCCAGCATTTGATGTTTGTTGTTCTGTTAAATTTTGCTATTCTTACTGGAGTAAGATGATATCTCATAGTTGTTTTTATTTGCATTATTCTTAGAGCTAGGGATTTTGAACATTTCTTCATGTGTTTGTTTGCCATGTGAATGTCTTCTTTGGTGAAGTGTCCGTTCATATCCTGTGCCCATCTTTCAATTGGGTTATTTACTTTTATCTTGTTGTGGGGCTCGAGTATTTTATAAATTCTAGATATAAGTCCCTTGTCAGACATGTCATTACCAAATATTTTTTCCCAGTTTGTGGTTTCCCTTTTTACCCTATTGGAGAAGGTTTTGGATGTGCATAGGGATTTAATTCTTAGAAGGTCCCATTCGTGTATTTTATCCTCTCCTGGTTGTATTATTTTGTCATCCTTAATAGTTGGAAAACAACACAACTCATTGCCACTGAGTTGGAACCAACTCAAACCCTCCGGTGGGTTTTCAGAGGCTGTAAATTGCATGGGAGACTATTCCTCTTTCTCCTGCAGAGACACTGGATTCAAATCACATGCATTTGGTTTGGCAGTGCAAATCTTTGCCCACTAGGCCAGTAGAGCACCATACATATATACAAACTGACATACAAACACACATATAACCACACCACATATCTTGCGCTGGTGGCATAGTCTGGAGGGAGTGCACTGCTAATCCGTCAGTGGCTCTGCAAGAGAAAGAACAATTCTATTTGCAAGAGAAGGCATAGTGTTTATTTCTGAAAGGAGACAGAGTTTCAGAACTGGCCCAAAGGGAAGGGATTATGGTGATTGGAGGCATGCCCAACAGGTCCTGTGTCTGAGTCTGAATTTCAGCTCAGCATGTATACTTGGACCAGGAGGCAGTTGTCCGAACAGAACAAGGAAACAATGCACGGTTCAAAATCAGGAAGGTTGTATGCCAGGGATGTGTCCTATCTCTGTATCTTTCCAGTCTATGAGAAACAGATCACCCAGGAGGCTGGGCTTTCTGAGGAGGAATGTGGCATCAGGATTGGAGGAAGACTCATCAACAACCTGCATTATGGAGATGCAACAACCTTGCTTGCTGAAACTGAGGAAGGCCTGAAGCACTTCCTACAGAACATCAAGGACTGCAGCCTTCATATGGATTGAAGCTCAACATCAAGAAAACAAAGATTCTCACCACTAGGCAGATTGGCTGCATCATGATTGATGAAGAGACCCAGATTGTTAACAGCTTCAGTTTGCTTGGATCCACAGTCAACACTCTTGGTACCAGCAGCCAGGAAATCAAAAGATTAATATACTCAGGTTTCACTCTGGAATTTATCAGTCTTTGGTCCTTTACCAAAGATGTCCGGAGTTGGAGCTATTATGAGTTAAAAGGGACAAATTTTTGTTGCCAATCAAAACAGTAGGTGTGCAGGGTGACTGCCGTTCCTACAGTTACGTGTGTGGAATCTCCAGTAAAGACGAACCCGACTGGGAGTCTCTCATGTTCCTGGCTCGACTTATACCTCGCATGTGTCACAACATTAACAGAGTTGTCTATATATTTGGTCCACCAGTTAAAGAACCTCCCACAGATGTTACACCTACCTTCTTGACAACAGGGGTGCTGAGTACTTTGCGCCAAGCTGATTTTGAGGCCCATAACATTCTCAGAAGGTGTGGGTATGCCGGGGAAATCAGCCAGATGCCTGTGATTTTGTCACTGTTGCATTTTGATCAGGACCCGCTTCAGAAGCAGCCTTCGTGCCAGAGATCAGTGGTTATTAGAACGTTTATCACTAGTGACTTCATGACTGGTGTCCCTGCAACACCTGGCAGTGAGATCCCTGTCGAGGTGGTGTTAAAGATGGTCACTGAAATTAAGAAGATTCCTGGTATTTCTCGTATTATGTATGACTTAACATCAAAGCCCCCAAGAACTACTGAGTGGGAGTAATAAACTTCTTATTGTATTAAAAAAAAAAGATTAATTGCACTAGGAAAGTCTACTGTCAGGGACCTCTCCAGAGTACTCAGAGCAATGATGTCAGTCTGGAGGCTAAGGTGTACCTGATCCAAGCCATGGTCTTTGCTATTACTTGCTATGCATCACAGAACTGGACAATGACTAGGTAAGATAGAAGAAGAATTGATGCCTTTGAGTGGTGGTGCTGGAGAAGAGTATTGATATACCATGGACTGCTAGGAAAACAAATAGGTTCCTCCGAAAGAGGGTGAAATCAGGCTGCTCCTTGGAGGCAAGGATTCTGAAACTTCATTTGACATACTGTGGGCATGTTGCAAGGAGGGACCAGTACTTGGAGAGGAACATCATGCTTGGGTGGGTGGAGGGACAGTTCAAGAGAAGACCCTCGACGAGATGGATTGACTCAGTGTCTGGGGTAATTGGGTTAGGTGTGTCAAAGACAATAAGGTTGGCTCAGGACAGAGCAGGGTTCAAAGCTGTTGTACAAAGGGTTGCTATGAGCTGCAAGTGACTCGATGGCACATAATTACAACAAATGTAACTTAGGACAAGAATTAAAGCTTGGTCGTAAGCAGAGCTTCTGAGCATACTTTGGAAGCCTGCTGGTCTTGAACTGGTCTGCCCTGGGCCCTGATTTCCATAGAAACCAGGAATTTTACATGCAAAGGTCAGAAAACACTAGAGGGCAGCAATTTATGGTCTTGAAGCAAATAGCAGGATGTTAGGAGGGGCTTTGGGGTTTAATCCTAGGATGCATTCTGGTTTCCTATCTAACTTTTGGGGTATTGGGTTGCAAATCTTCAGGTCCTCTAGTCCATTTAAGTGCATGGCTTTGGGTGTAGGAGCTAGGAGCCTTGGGCCTAGCAAAATGGATTTGCTTTGCCTGAAGCACATTGCATTACCACTTCCATTCACTGATGGGGAAACTACAAACAAGTGAAATCACAATTTATTAAGAGTATTTTGATAGGTCAGGAGGCCATTATTTAACTGCTGTTCTCTTCCTTCAGGAGGTGGCAGGGATCTTCCACAGGATTAATAAAGCGCTTCTCTGAGTTTACGTCCTCACATGAGTGGGAAAAGGCCTCAGAGAGGGAGACTGTGCTCTCCTCAAATGTAGCATTCAAGAAGTTTCCTTTCCTTTGCCACTAGACTAGACTGTGTAGCTGTTGGGGGTTTTGGGGGGGATGACAAGTAACAATTGTAGTTGAAAAATGCCAAGAAAAAGGTTTATTTAGCACACTGTATAAAAGAGTAAAGAAAGGGAAATAAGAATTGCCAGCTGGACAGTTCCTCCAAAGACCAAAATGGCTACAATTTTGGAAAGGCACACAAGTTACAATATTAGTGTTTTTGTTTCACATCAGCGTGCTAAAATGGAGGTTTTCTTTGATATAATTTTTATATGAGTTATGAAACCAGTTTTATTGAGACACAAGATATTCACAGAGGAAAGAAAAAGGTGTCATTCCAAGGGGGTATTCTTAATGAGACACATGAGCAAGACCCAGGAGGCTGTCCTTTATTCTAGGTCAATGAGGGATGACTATATAAATGAAGTAGGTCCTATATTGTGTTCTTTTGTTCTACAGTGATTCTATTTTAATCTTAGATGTTAATACTATATGTACATAATAAAGGAACTTCTCTGAGGGCATGGAGGTTTTTCCCAAAGCAATTGGACTTTCAGTAGCTCAGTATCTGGGTTCCTCTGTGTTTAGTATGATGTGCTTTAACTCTAGACTGCTTTGACTGTCAATCAAACCCACACTGGTAGGATTAGAACCAATGAAACAGGAGAGGCAGAAGTTTATACTTGGAAAAATGAGCTATCAGAACCAGGAAGCAGATACTGACGTTTGTAGAATTTGTGCTTCAGGCTCATGAGCAACAACAAAGACAATGGACTAGAATAAAAACCACCCACCGAACTTTGAACTCTTCATGACATCCTCTCATTGGTCCAGACTCTAGACCTAAGAAAGGCAGGCCAGAAGAGAAAGTAGCTTATACACCCTCACCTTAGTGGTACATGCCTCCTTTCTTCTATTATTTTCTTTTCTGGGGAGTATGGGCCCATCTGCTTTGGGGATATAACTATTTTAATAAATCTTTACTGTTTCACTTCTGCCTCCTCATTTTTCTTCTCAGCCTCACTCTCTAACCAAAGCTTTAGCTTTCAGCCTGTTGTCTAGTATTCTGTGCACTAAAGTCTGTTCTCTCAAGAAACCCTAAAGTTGCTGTACACTCTATTACTTTGGTACTTGGGCACAGTCCCCTCTTCTAGTCTTTTCCACTTGGCAATATTTTGCTTGAATGAAAAGAACAAACTGTTACATTTATTACACAATAACACCATCATCTCAGTGTAATGTTCAAAATGTTTAAAAGTTTAAATGTTTAACTGGAGAGTTACTTCCCACAGATGGAATGATCCAAATACACTCTCATGTGAAGATAGGGCGTTATCATCAGCATTTGCAAGAACAACTGGACTTAGACCTCTCCCGTCTGGAGTACAGGATGAAGTGCTACCCAGAGATCAAAGAGAAGGAAGAAATGAGGAAGAGCATTGGGCAATACGGTCTTACTGGAAAACAGCAGGTGAGCCCAATCGGGAACCTGTCTGATGGGCAGAAGTGCTGTGTGTGTTTGGCCTGGCTGGCCTGGCAGAACCCACACCTGCTCTTCCTGGATGAACACACCAATCACCTGGACATTGAAACCACTGATGCGCTGGCTGATGCCATCAATGAATTTGAAGGTGGCATGATGCTGGTCAGCCATGATTTCAGACTCATTCGACAGGTGGCACAGGAAATATGGGTCTGTGAGAAGCAGACAATCACCAAGTGGCCTGGAGACATACTGGCCTACATGGGGCACCTCAAGTCCAAGTTGGTAGATGAGGAGCCCCAGCTCACTAAGAGGACCCACAATGTGTGAGCCCTCTGCTCAGGCTCAGGTCAGGAGTTCCACTGGGGACTTAGCTGCTACCCTGACCGGCCACTCAGGATGGGACCCAGGGCTGCACTCCTGATTTGCTGCAATGCTGCTTCCCAGTCCCTGCCCTGCCCTCAGCCTGCCTTAGCTGCGCTCTTCTCTACAGCTGGACAGTACCTGTCCGTTTCCCATCCTCCTCCGAGTTACTTTTGTCCGTGTCTGGACTTGGCTGGCTCTTCCCTTCCAGCCCTGGTTGGTCACCTTACCTGGATAGTGACACAGCCAGAGTCACCTGAGGATTAGCCCTAGGGCCCAAACGCTGGATTTGGCCTGTGAAGGAGTTTAGGGTGCTCATTTTCTGGGTTTGGGTGAAGTTGGGGGAAAACCCCCAGCCCCACCACATCATCCTTTCTGTTTCTGGCTTGGAGCTCTGGACCAGGGTTTGAGTCCTGGTCAGTTTTTAAATAATTATTTAACATTGTAACTTCTAGACCATGGTGTCATCAACAAAGTGTCCAATAAAGCAAGCCATGGTACCTACAAAAAAAAGTTCCAATTTCTTGCAGACAAACTGTATGCAGTGTGGTGCAGAGTAGCAAGTAACCATTTAAATTTGAACAATGTACAGATGCTGCAACAGTTGGTGAAAGTGTGGGGGGCTGGGGTCTTCCTTTTACACTTTCATTGTTTCAGAGAACACTGTCCACAGGATCTGCAAGTAGAGGCTGAGTTCAGCTGGGTTTCATTGCCAGCTATGTTGTCTCAAACTGACCATCACTTGTTGAATGTCAGACCCAAGTATCCCTGGCCACTCTACTTCAAGTAGCCTGTCAGGGCCTGGAACTGTCACCAAGTTAGGTTCTGAGAGAATTAACAAATAAATACTTCAGTGCACAGAGAGCTAGGAGAGAAGAGGAGCTTCAGATGCATGAAGCAGACTTTATCTACTTTGATATGTCAATACTGCTGTGAACTTTTTGGACCCTGCACAGCCACATCCGGGTGGGTGTGGGCCAAGGTTTCTGCTATTAGTAACTGCTACTGAGAAAGCACGTGCACAGCAGGACAAAATGCTACCAGACCCTGCATCCCAGTGGCCATTTTATAAACCATGAATAATCATATAAACCACTGCAGTCCAATAATTTTCACTAGCTATTTTCCATAAGATCTTCAAGCCTTTACTCCTAGTCTATCTTAGACTAGATGGATGTTCCACTGAAGCCAGTTCAACATCATGGCAACATGTAAACCACCACAGAAAGCATGAGGTACACTGGCATGAAGTCAGGTCTTCTGAATGGAAGGTGGGAAGAAGTCTACCACTGAACCATGGCCTCACTTTTCTAATTTGAGAAGCCTAAAAGCTTGACAAGGAAATGAAATGGCTAGGCTTTCAAGTGTTATGCCTCTTCATTTTCTAATCTGTGTCCAAAGGGTACAGATGCTTGGGATGAGCATAGTCAATGGGCTTAGCCTCACAAACATGACTTATTCAGAACAAGTTTTGTAAAACCACTTTGATGTGGTAAATGAGATGCTACAAGGTCCCTTCAAAGTGGGGATGGCAAACCTGTATGGGGTCCAAAACTTACCAGCCACAGCTTGACAAGAGCTCTAATTCCAGGATAGGCTTCAACCACTCCATCTGCATTCCTGTACCCTGCCACTTTTGGGCCCTCTGACTTCACCAACCAAAGATACTAATCTCACAAGGAGCCATACTGAAGATACCCATTTCAAATCCAGCCTTTCTGCCAGCCTCCAGAAAGAAGTTCAAGTTGGCCTTGCTGTCACTGTGAGGATCGAGAGTGCAGTCCAGTCTTTGGCTGGCTCTTCAGCAGTGTACATCCCACACCACCATCCACAACAGCTTTGAGTACAGTACCCCTGGTTTCAGGCAGGCATTTTCAAGCTGCAGCCTCTGATGAGAATGCTGGGGGCTGGGGAGCTCTGGAGGCCTGGTTCAGCCACAGTTGGCTGTCAAATCACTTGTTATACAAATAACCAAAGATGACAACACCTCGACATGTGAGTATGGGGTGGGGGTGGAGTCAGAGGGGAGATGAAGTAATGGTGGAGTATGGGATGCACAAGCTAATGATTTTCTGGGTTTCTCTGAAATTCGATAAAGAGTCCAAGCAAGACTCTGTTTCAAAAAGGGGCAATGGTTCTTTTATGAGCTCCAAGTTGGAGAACAACATCTCCAGACAGCCTGTTTCTGGTAATTTCTGCAGCAGACATTCACTGCTGGCCACCATTGGCTTCTACTCTGAATGCTGTTTCCCCTTCCCATCTGCCTGATCAGGGCCCATTAGATCATTTATTGTTGTTATGGAGCCTACCCAGTATCTCTGCAAGGAAGACTCACTCAGCCCATTGCTATTGAGTTGGGATTGACTCAGCTGACACTTTACTGAGTTTCAAAGGCTGTAAACCACAGGAGGAAGTTGCCTATCTTTCTCATATGGAGCTTTCTCATATGGCTTCAAAGTGCCATAGAGGCATGGCCTTGGGGTTGGCAGCATAAATCCCAATAAATTATACCACCAAAGCTCCCTCTGTAAAATCAACACCTGGAAATTTGCTACTTTACAACCAAGAAAACCCTAAGAAGCAGTTCTACTCGAGCACATTGTGTCTCTGTGAGTTGGTATCAACTAGATGCCACCTAACAATATTGTTTCTTACCAAGCCTGTTCCCATAAAATGCTTGTGCTTATGCTTTCTCATCTATGATCACAGAACCAGAGCTTCCATCTTCTGCAGAAGAGGAAACAAGCAAGAAAACAATACTAAAACTTGTTTAAATTTATGGTGACACCATAAGTGTTTCTAAGGCTGTAATCTTTTAGAGAAGCAAATTGCCATCTTCTTTTCATGGAGCAGCTAGTGGGTTTGACTGGCTAATATTTCTGTCAGCAGTCAAGTGCTTAGCCAAGGCTTCTTGAGAAGCAAGGAATTTCATAAGCCATGTCTTCCTTCTATACTGCCCATTTCCAGTCTTCAGTATGTAAAGCAGCAAGCATGCAAGCCTGCATTGGGGAAACCATTCCTAGCCCCACACAATGCCAAGAAGTCAGCAAAGGAGAAAAGAGCAGGTCCAGCAATAGGTTAGACAGGTTTGTGCTCTCCAAACTTCAGCCTCCCCCATTAGTGGGAGTGGAAGAGAGGAATGTTGTCCCAATGATAGGGAATGGCAAAGAAAACACTGACAAAGTAACCCAACCAGGACAATGATGAGACAGTGGCAAGAAAACACAAAGAAATCAGACTCATTCATTAAAAAAAAAAAAAAAAAGATAGCCAAACAGACCAGTCAAGAATCACTATGAATTAATCAGAAGCCATGCACCACCATAAACTGATCTAAAGCTGTGCTAGCCTGATTCCTCGCTGGAGAGAAGATAGAAACTGGTGATAGAAGGGTCAGTCCTATCCTGACCCTCTCAGTCTGTTATGAACGTCTAATAAACCTCTCTTTGTCTTGTTTTGTGGAAGCATTCTATCAAAATCTCACACCCCAGAAAGAATTTTCTAGTACTTCCGCAAATTCTCTTCAGAAATTATCCCCCTTGACACCAAGGGATTCTAAGGGTCTGAATGCTTTGGGGGTGGGGCACAATGGCTTAGTTCAAAGCAAGGGTTGGAGAAAACTGGTCCATCTGGAATCTGGGATAGGAACATGCTAGGGGAAGCACTTGCAGAAGACCTTGGCCACAAAGTATCTCTGGTTGAAAGGAGCAAGCAGTAGAGTTGCTGCTGGATCCAAAGTCCAGACTCCCCTCCTTTCAAGAACCCGACTCTGGCTGTTTCTCAGTACCCAAGTACTGTTCAGTGGCTAAAGTGAGTCCATCTCCTGTGATAGCACCACCCATCTTTGGGCAGTGAAAGGCTACAAGGTTCTGAAGCCAGGAGTGAGGTGGGGTGGGGTGAGTGTGGTATATTCTGGTCCCTGAATGAACATGCACATACAACACTTTGCACAGTGCACTCACTCAGCAAATGCTGAATTACAACAGCTCTAAACTGCTCTGGTGATATAGTGTGTAGCTGCTTGTGCTGCTAACAGTAGGGTGAGCAGTTCAAATCCATTCACTCCAAGATAGTTATCTCCTATTAAGATTTATAGCCTCAAAAGTGATGGTGGGTCGAAACCTATTCCAAGGCAGTGGGTACTGGCATGCATGTGTGCACATTGTTAATTTGGGGCCCTGGAGCAAAGTCACAGAATCAGAAGCACAACCAGGCCAAGCAGCCTGCAATGTGATGTGTGTGTCAGAAGCGGCTAATCTCATGCCCTTCCCAAACCTAAACACATTGCTCTGGAGCGATTTCCACTTGTGGCAACCCTCCATGGAGTTTCTGAGGCTGTAAAACTTCACAGGCGTTTTCTGCAGAAACCACTGTGCTACCAGGGCTCCTTAGCTTCTAATGCCAGTGTGTTAGAAGAGCCTGCCAGGGTGCATCCCTCAATCAACACTGAGTTTAGACACACTGAGGTTCAAAGTCTGCAGTAGCCAAGGGCGAAGGGAGGAGGTGATGCTTTGACCAGTGCCTCACTACCTCTACAGGCCCCTGCACGGAGAACCACTGAGTGCACACAGCCTACTGCCTGCACAACGCCTCTCTACCTCCAGCCACCTCTCCGGTCCTGAGTTGCCTCCGCATCTTCTCTGCTTTGCATGTGCCACTGTGGCCCAGGCACCAAATGAAACTAGCTGTGATGATCAAGAAGATTGTGTCCCGGAGACTCTTAAGTGTCCCGGCCAAGAACTGCTACCACATGGTCATACTTGGTTCATCCAAGGTGGGTAAGACTGCCATTGCATTGCATTTCCTCACGGGCCACTTGGAGGACGCTTAACACGCTTACGATGGAGAACTTCCACCACAAATTCTATTCCATCCGTGGTGAGGTCTACCAGTTTGACATTCTCGGTATGTCTAGCAACCACTCTTTCCCCGCCATGCAGCACCTCTCCATCCTCATAGGAGAGCGAGTGGGCATTAGGAGGTGTGGGCAAGATGGAGCACACCTGTGATGTACTGTACAAGAAGGCAGTGAGCATTAGAAACTGCTGCAAGCCAGTCACAGCAGAGGTGACATACTTTGTGCTCTGGATCATAGCCTTCGGCAGTAGGTGAGGGTAAAAGTTCGCCCTGGGAGGTGACTGAGACTCCTCTGTTTCCTGGGTGCTCCAGAATTGACTTTGTTAAGAGGTGTATGGCAGGCTGTACTGCTCTGGAAGAAATCTAACCAGTTTGTCCTGCTTCACCTTCTCCTCCCTCCTTTCTGTGCCCCACAGGAGATGTTTTCATCCTGGTGTTCAGCCTAGACAACTGTGATTCCTTCGAGGAGGTGCAAAGGCTCAAGCAGCAATCTTTGACACGAAGTCTTGTCTTAGGTATAAAACCAAAGACGATATAGACATGGTGGTCCTGGTCATTTGTCATAAGAAGGGTGACCAGGCCTTCTACCACGAAGTTGAACAAGAGACGGAGCAGCTGGTAGGCAACAAACCCAAACGCCGTGTCTACTTCATGATCTCAGCCAAGAACAGTAGCAGTGTGGGCCAGATGTTCCAGAGCCTCTTGGCCATGGCCAAGCTGCCAAGTGAGATGAGCCCACGCTTGCACCACAAGGGATCGGTGCAGTACGGTGACACACTGGACAAGATGATGCTGTGCACGCAGCAAGAAGCTGCTGAGAGCCAGGGGCAGTCATGGTTACCCAGGTGATGCCTTTGGCATTGTGACTCTTTGCATGCAGGTCAGTGTACACAGTGACCTCATGTATATCTGCGAGGTTAGCAAAGGAGGCCAGACCAAGGACAGTGAGCGCTGTGTCATCAGCTAGGAGCCTCTGTTGCATAGGCAATGGAACATAAGAACTTGTTTAGAAGTGAATCTGTCGACCCAGTGATATGGCTGCAGGCAACTTTCATCTAGGAGATCCTCTACTCTGAAAGAGTACTGGCATGATCAGGCCTCTCCCATCCCCCCATCTGCCACTGCACCCCCTTAAAGAGTGGGACCAGTGCTTGTCTTACCACCAAGACTTGAGACTGCTCTGACAGTTCAAGGGTCAAGACAAAAGAGATATTATCATTTCTGAGTTGGGGCTATCACTGCAGCTGGTGAAAGCTTTTGCCCTTCAGAAGCCAAGCAGGCTAACTCATAACCAAATAACATACAAGTGTTAAATTTCAGAAAGGAGGAGGACTGAAGCTGAAAACTTTAATAGTAGTTTACCAGTAGCACTTTAATTGTAGATCACTGTGAACTGAACAAAATAACCCAGAATTTTGTTTATAATGTGTTTAAGACAACATTTATTGTTAGTTTTTAAATATAAAATAAAAAGCTTTCTTTGCTTCTAGAAATGGCTGCAGGAAGGTAGGAGGAAAGAAATACTGGGTTTCCACTAATATGGATTAGAACACACCTTTTCAGAATAAAAAAAGTCCGCACAGCTGTTCTGAAACAGTATGATGAGTCACAGAAGAAACAGTCTAAAATTTTCAGATGCCTAGACCTAGAGAAACAAGATGGACAAAGCATTTCTATTTGGGGAATTATTCTCTGGAAACAATTCCTGGAAAGCCAAGAGATCTCCACAAGGGAGAAAACTGTTTAAAAGAGATATATAACTAGGTATTTCTGTCATCACAGGAGACTAGAGCGAGGGCTACATGGTGGAGGGGACCTGGGGGAGGGTTTGTAAAACAATGAAAGAATCTTTTCTTTTACTTTTCCATAATTTTTGGACTCATGTACTTATAACTTGTTAGTCAAATTTGTGTCTTCTAGGTTGCAACACCCCCATGATACATCTTCAAGGATATGAACATGTACGGCCAAGCACAATCAATAAGAGTGCATCTAAATTCCAAAATCAATCTCCATAATAGTCTATGTGTTTCCTACTGTCAAAGGGGCCCTTTAGAGTAGTGAGAGAAGATCTTCACCCTGAAATCCACAGCATCCCTTTTCAGCAGGAAGTAGCTAAGAGAATACGCCATCCCCTTTTCCTTATGACTCAGGGTGAAGTCTCTCTCAGGGAGGAGTGATAGGGAATGGCAAAGGACACACTGACAAAGAAGATTAATCAGAACTGGCTTTGACAAGCACTGTGGCATTTGGACAAGAACAAACTGGGAGGAGGGTAGAGAGAATAGTGCAACAATGAATGAATGGAAACCCAAAATCTCTGTAAATGTTTATGAAAATTAATAAAATATAATTATAGAAAAAAAAGAGACCTCCACAGACTCAACCTTTGCAGTCCACTTATTTAACTGCTTGGTGCTTGCTGCAGTCAAGCCACATAAGGTCTCATTAATGTTCTGAGGTTTATTTATTCTGGGTCTTCAGTGTAGAACTTATGGGTTCCCTGGAAATGTTCTGTAGTGTCTTATCCTCATTCAATGTGGTCCAGGGACAGTTTAAAACAAAACCACAAAGCCCTCCTCCCCACTGCCTAAGGAGACTCCTGCTGTCCAGGATGTCCACATATCCACCACACATATGCCTTGCTTTTTCAGTCTTGATGGCTAAAGACACACACTTGGGACTTTGGTCCAGCTCTCTCAGCCACTTACACCTCTGCACACTATGGACAGATGACACCCGACAAGACTCAGCTTCTTTATTTGTAGTCAAGGCAAGCTGTCTTCCTGGAAGCTGCTGTAATAGAGAAGAGCCCTACATCTGCCTAGTAGCCCAAGTGGTAGCTTCAGGAAGATTATGCTCCTAAGGGATGTTACCCTGCTTTAGGAGGCTGAACCTTCTCAAAGCATCAAAATGGTCTGCCTGTGTTGTTAGGCTGTCCCGACAGGGATGAAATTCTATAACGACACGTCTTTGACTGATGTATGTACTGACAGGGATGTGGAAGGGAGCCAGGAAAGTTTTCACAACTGATTTCTGTGAACAAAGCAAACATTTTCTTCTAATAATTCATGAGACATCCTGCTAGAAGCTCTTTAATATAAAAACTAAGACATCTTTCTGGCCAACTGTAAATCTTTCCAGCCAGCATGAATGCCTACATTGATCTTAATTATATATTAAAAAAAATAATTTCCCAAATCCAAATGGCAAAATGCAGTCTAGTCTAGTTGGAGGGAGGGACTAGTTTTTGACTCCTCTGCCCCTGCAAGAGGCTGTTTGTCTATCTTGACCTTGCAGATGGGTGCTAGTGTTTTAACTGCTAAAAGTTTTTGGGTTTTGGTCAGGGCCTTAAAACTGGCCTATACAATACTTTGCATTTTCTAGAAAAGAACAGATTCAGTTAAAAATCTCAAGATACAATTGGTCTAGCAGGTGCCTGTCATATTCTCTTGTCATTGCTCCTGGCAGAGCCTACTCAAAGCCATGGAAGCCTATCTACTTACTCTATACTCTTGAGTTCCCACTCCCAACATCCTCCCTCATGGACACCTCTGGAGCCTTGTTAAATACTCTTCAGTCAGCATTTCTGCAAAGAGATCAGTCAGTAGGCATCTGTAAAGTCACTGGATAGGCAAGCATAGGTTATATGTCCATTTCTAAACAAGATGTAGTTCCTTCACACCTTTTAAAAGGGAAAGGAAAGTACTGTTCTTACCTCAATTTGACAGCCAGAGGCAAAGCATCTAAATGCAACTACTTGACTGGCAGAAACTGGAGTAGAGCTGTAGCAATGAGGACTATGCTGGCCTTTGCCTCTAGAGCTGATTCTCTGAGTAGAAGGTGCATCTTGGAGTGGCAGTACAATTAATATTTGCTGCCAACTTCTAATGAGAAGGCCAGGCATGGAATTTCCAGAACAAGGTCCTTAGATGTCAGAGATCAAGATCAGCTCACCTGAAGAGTTTTATTTTGGGTAGGAATGGCAGCTTGCCAGTTCAGATGGTTCCTGCGAGACCTGCCATTCTCCACCATTAAGTAGGTGGTGGCAGGAGACCAAGGCAGCAAAAGTTAAAAATACTGAGCACAATATGGGTTGTGCACAGAATTGCTTTTAAGGATCAGCTGATATCCAGCAGGACTCAATCAAAAGGAGACAAATTGCTTCTGCTGGCAATGGTATATGAGTGGGAGAAGGAGAGCTATAGAGTTTTAAAATAATGTTCATTCTCTCACAACCACCGTTATTTACTATATTCAATACTGGTAAAGGGCTTGCCCTCCCCCAGGTGACCTTCTTCCCACCAGCAGAGATATGAGAGGTACTGCCCATTAAATTAAGGCTACTTGGCTGTCTGGCTCAGAATTGAGAAAAGGAGACAAAAAGGGTCCACACTGCTCTGGGAGTGTCTTCACTCTACTCCTTGGGGATTTCAAACATGCAGAGGCTCTTATACTTCTGTAGCAGTTCATTCTTGGTCCTGACTTGCTCTTGGAGGTTGTGCAGCTGCTGCTGCTGCTGCTCAGGACTCAAGTGGATGCCAGGCATGGTGCTGACAACCTTCCGCACCTCTTGGAACTTGGTCTTTAGGGTGTTCAGGTCCTGGTGAACATCAGGGCTGTCCTTGTCCATGCTATAGAGGGCAAAAGCACCATCAGCACATGCAGGTCAAACAAACCCCACCACCTGCCCCCATAGAACCCTCTGAGCCTCCTTGTGCACCATCCTTCATCTGGGCTGAATTCCCTGACAGGGCCAGCTTTGATGTGACACTGGCCAAGCTACACTGGTGTTCAATCAGCCCTGTCACCCTGATGGCCAATACAGCATAGTGCATCTCTTTCAGCAGCACACATCCTGTACTTTACAATCTGCATTCTTCAACAAGCTATGCTCTAATGGTGTGGGCAGGGCCCATATTTCCTCTGTACCCTGTACCTAGCCCAGTAGGTAGAGAGCTATGACCAATCAAGAAACTGCTACTGTGGTGTCATAGGTTCACTGTTAAAAATGGCTTTCCTAGCCACTGGCTTTGACTTTTACTACATAGCTGGGCAAGAATCTAAAACAGGGTGTGAATAAATGAACCATTACAGGATTGGTCAGTTGCAGAGGGACAAGGACTGCAGCCTCCAATATGGATTAAGGCTCAATATCAAGAAGACAAAGATTCTCACCACTGGGCCAACTGGCAGCATCAGGATGGATGGTGAAGAGATTGAGATTGTTCACAGCTTTAGTTTGCTTGGCTCCACAGTCAACACTCTTGGCACCAGTAGCCAGGAAATTAAAAGACGTATTGCCATGGGGAAGTCTGCTGTTAGGGACCTCTCCAAAGTACTGAAGAGCAATGGTGTCTCTCTAGAGACTAAGGTGCATCTGATACAGGCCATGGTCTTTGCGATCACTTGTTATGCATCAGAGAGTTGGACAATGACTAAGAAGGAGAAAAGGAGAATTGATGCCTTTGAGCTTTGGTGCTGGAGAAGAGTATTGAGAGTACCATGGACTTCTAGGAAAACAAACAGATTCATCCTGGAAAGGGTTAAACCGGGTGGCTCCTTGGAGGCAAGGATTCTGAGGCTCCCTCTAACATACTTTGGACATGTTGTAAGGAGGGACTGGTCCTTGGAGAGGGTCATCATGCTTGGTAGGGTGGAGGGACAGTGCAGGACGGGAAGGCCCTCTATAAGGTGGACTGATTCACTGACTAGGGTAATTGGGATGGCTGTATTGGAGACGATGTGATTGGCACAGGACAGAGCAGAGTTTAGGGCTGTTGTACATAGGGTCGCTAGGAGTCGGAAGTGACTCAATGACACATAACAACAACAGAGTTTAAGTTGAGCAAGTTTAGCAGCAAAGTGAGAATCACATTACTAGCAAGGTAGAAGCAGCAAAAAAATGCAGCACATGTCTTTCAGAGCCAGAGATTACTGTGCCAGTCACACTGGATCTACACAAGAGCAGAAACAGCCTCAGTGGGGAACCAGAGAATAACATAAGATAGAGCTGACTTTAAAATGCTGACCCATGGAACCAGAGCCAGAATCAGAACCAGAGCCAGGAGCCTGGAACTCAAGGTTCCTGGAGGCCTGAAGGGAGATATCACAATTGGCAAGCCTAAAGAAACTTTGGAACAAGGTCAAACGGCTTCCAAACAGGCTTGAGAAGCTGCCTTGACTAAGAAATTGTATCCTTTGCCAATCTGAAAAAACTGTTAACGTCTCCAGTAAATGCCCTGTGAGTATGGTTTTGTTAGATCTCTGTGGCCACTGCAACAGATTTCAAATCCGGTAGTTCACCTGTTGCTGCTGCGACTGGTAGAAGTAGGTGTGGAAGTGTTTTGTACTGTGGATGCGGTTGACAGGAGACAGTTCTCCCTTATGGGTCAGTATAGATCAGAAGTGGCTGTCTCCATGCCATCTACACTCTGTACAATTACTGAAAGAACAAATTTTTGACACACAGGATGTTCATAATGTTTATACAAATAATGAATACAATGTTACAAAAATTTGATGGCAATGCCATGTGAAATTTGTGACAATACATTTCTGAAATATGATTAACTTCCAGGTTAGTCAGGAGACTTTTACCAGCTTCTTGTTTTTGAGTACCACCTAGTTGGAAATGACTCACAGCTGACCCTCCACTGAGTTTTCAGAGGCTGTAAATCTCATTGCCCATCTTTATCCTTTGAAGCAGTTGGTCAATTTGAACTGTGTACCTTTCTTTGGGTTAGCAGTGTAATTTCTTACCACTAAGCAACCAAGAGCTAATTTTAGCTGAGGTTTTGATGTGTGAGCCTCTTAACATAAAAACTGATTTTTACAAAGATGTTCATAAATTTTGTATTAGTTACAAGCAATTGGAAATGTTCATCCATCAGGTACACGGGTGCCCATGCTTCAAAGGTCAAATCCTTATTTCTGGGTCCAGTTAATTTAAAGGTAGGCTTTTATTCTCTCATTAACAATTACTATTGCTGACACCAACTGAGCGTCTGTCTGCTTTCACTAAAGCGAGCATTTTAAATAAAGCACATTTACTATGTTGTTGTTAAATGTTGGCAACTTATCACGACCCTATGTACAACAGCTCTGAAGCCTGCCCTTCTTGAGCCAGTCTCATGGACTCTGACACACCTACCCCCATTACCCCAGTTACTGCATCAATCTGTTTCGTCTGGGGTCTTCCTCTCTCGCACTGATCCTCCACCCCTTCTAAGCATGATGTCCGTCTTCTGGCCTCATGCCCAGGGTTATGTGTGATGGAGTTTCAAAATCCTAGCCTCCAAGGAGAAACTTGATTTCACTCTTTCCTAGACAGACCTATTTATTTTCTTGGAGGAACATGTTACACTCAAGACTCTTCTTGAACACAGCACCAGAACTCAAAGGCATCATCATCTTGTATATTTGCTATATAAAACAAACAAACAAAAACCCAACAAAAAAACCCACACACAATTACTATTAGCTGCTCTGAGAGTTGTGCTTCTTCTAAGCATTAAATACAAGAAACAAAAACAAAACCTCTCACCTTAAGGTACCTCAATGGCAAAGGAGACAGTCAGCCAATTGTTCCTGTACATATTTTCTAATAAGTCAATGAGGCTTAGGAAACATTAAACCAATGCTGTTCTAAAATACAGCATTGAGGCACAAGAGAAGGAAACTATTAATAAGCTCCCCCCCCCCCAAATGTTCATCTCTGGTTGGGCATTTAAAATCAAACAGTGCTATTGTTGCTGTTAGGTACCATCGAGTCAACCATGATCCAATGCAGCACTATCAATGAACAGCAGATCTGTACCTTGCCCTACCCTGTGCCATCCTCATTATCTCTGATATACTTGAGCCCACTATTACAGTCACTGTGTCAATCCACCTTGTTAAAGGTCTTCCTCTCTATCACTGACCCTCATTCTTACCAAGCATGAGGTCTTTTTCCAAGAACAAGCCCCTACTTAGAACATGCCCAAAGTATGTAAGATTTAGTTTCACCTTTAAGGAGCATTCTGGTGGCATGCCCTCGAAGACATATTTGCTTGTCGTCCCCCCCCACCCCTTAATTTGCTTGTTCTTTAAGTAGTCCACATCCCACAGGATATTCAGTACTCTTCTCCAATGCCACAACTTACAGATTTTTCTTCTTTCATCCTTTCTGTCCAACTTTCAAATACATAGTTGTTGTGTGCCGTCAAGTCGTTTGCGACTCATAGTGACCCTATGTACAACAGCCCTAAACTCTGCTCTATCCTGTGCCAATCGCACTGCCTCCGACACACCCATCCCGATTACCCCAGTCACTGAATCAATCCACCTCATAGAGGGTCGTCTCTTCCTGCGCTGTCCACCCCCACCCTCCCAAGCATGATATCCCTCTCCAAGGACCTGTCCCTCCTTACATGTCCAAAGTATGTCAGATGAAGCTTCAGAATCCTCTTCTCCAGCACCACAGCTCAAAGGCATCAATTCTCCTTCTATCCTCTCTAGTCATTGTCCAACTATTCAATTGCTAATTTGATATGCTGAGATACAAAGCATAGTATAATCAAACCAGCTGCTGTCAAAATAATTCCAATCCATATATTCCCTAAGGTTTTGAATGGCTGATTATTTCAAAAGTAGTAGGTCTTTGTTCTTGTTGTTATGTACTTTCAAGTCAGAACCAACCCATAGCTGACCTTCCAGCATGGTTTCAAAAGGCAGTTTATTACAAGGGAGGAGAAAATCCATCTTTCTTAGGTAGAGCAGCTGGTGGATTTGAACTGCATGCCTTAGGGACTGCAATGCAATTTCTTACCACTAATTCACTCAAAACATCAACCATTTGCATCACCCAGAGACTGTGATCAGTATGTGTACCTTACCCTAATTTCTGGAAAGAGGAACTGGTATTCATGAGATCTGCAAGTCATTTGAAAGGAAGCAAAAAGGTAAAGACTTCTGTTTTAATTCTTAGTCCAGGTCCATGCTCTGGAGAAAAACTATCTGGACTCTTCAAATGACTGAAGTTGGGTGGTATATGTGCTAACACATTGATTATGGATTTAAGTCTCAAGAGAGTTTTGAGATGAAAACATAATCGTAAGAAAAATTATTCACATCACATGAGCCTGAAAGGACATCGTGAAAATAAAACCTACATGTTGTTGTTGTTTGTTATTATGTGCCGTCAAGTCGCCTGCGACTCATAGCGACCCTATGTACAACAGCCCTAAACTCCGCTCTGTCCTGTGCCAATCGCACTGTCTCTGACACTCCCATCCCAATTA